CCCATATGTCAAAAACGGTCTGGCTGCTCTAACTGTACAAATTTGGGCAACGCACAACAGCATAAAGGCCTAGTAAACCATAAGTCTTGAAATCTTTTTTGTTGTTGTTATGATAGCAATCACTCATTAATAAATCAAAAATACCATTTTATTTATTTAAAATGCTGTTTCTCAAGAGACGAATACATAAGCTGCCAATATTTCGACCACGGATATGTCCATCAAATACCCCAAACCAACTGTTTACTAAACAATGACAGGCCCAATTGTATTACTGAACTGAACAAATTGGATTGAAACACTTAAAAGTAAGCTACTTAAGAGAGAACCACCAGCAGCAGCACTGCAACTATACTGGCTGACAGCATTAGATAGCAAAAGACATGCAACAAACAACATAAATTGCACATATCAAAACACGAGATCAGTATATTAGATAATGATCTAAGCAGATTGATGCCTTAAAATAACTCCGCTTGGCCCAATGCATTCATTCAAAACCACCAGTAGATGATCCCCTGCTTCACATTACACACCATCGCACTGCATGTCAGTCTTCATTTTAAACACTGGGTGGTCCAGTGATCACGAATTATCCAAATGCATTCATTAATACCTCAAGAAACATACAATCCATACATTCATATTTACATCCATTCATCTATCTGCCTGTCTGTCTATGGCCCAAGTGTCTCAAAACCTGGTTAGTTGACTACATTAACATCATTGTAGGGCATCATAGGCAAATTTGAAACGTTCATACAGTATTTTAAACGTTCAGCAACATTTTTGGGAGCGTACTGAACGCTTTAAGCACGCCTACGACGCCCAGATATGCCGCCTAGGTAGGCTGCTCACAAGATTTTGAGACACATTCAATGTGTTAATAACCAGCATGCTTGTATTTCGCAATCTGTTGAATTACACACCCTTCAAAGCGTACATTTGCGACGCATTTGCTGGCATGTGGCTTAGTATATGATGTTTGACTATCATAAACACCTCGTGCACATTTGCAAACATTATTTAATCAGATTGAACAGCAAAACTACCTTCCAATTGACTGCACGGATCCTCCTGTCAACCTGGAATTCAATCCTCTTCTGCTCGCTCTGCTGGTAAAACCTAACCTACTCCGGAGGCAAAGCCACGCCCTAATACAATTTTCAAAAAGCGGATTGGCCCATTGTTGCGTTTGTCCCGCCTTAAACTTGTACAGAAGCGTATTGTAATTGGCTAATGTTCCACACGCAACTGCTTACGTGTGAGATAATTGGTTAAAGCGTGAATATATTTCACAATGCTAAACTGTACGCATCTATTGGTTCGCGTTAAGGCGGTACCCGTTTGCAGTGACTTTACTGGTCGTTCGGTCAGATTTACAAGGTTGGTTTGACTACACAACAGAAAAGGCTTGTGTGCCTTGTGATTGGAAGTTTACTTTGGGTTCATAAAGTGACCATAAAAGGATAAAGTCTGCGCAACGTGATTCGCGGAGGAAACCGTCAATCATAGCCACAACATGTAAAACGTAACGCATGCAACATATTGTTATAAACCATTTATCATTTCTATTGTGTTTTAATGTGATTTATAATGTGTTTAATAATAGTTAATACTTTGATAAATCAATTATTCGTATTTTATACCAATGTATAATTTTTTTTTTTAACTTCATACATTTATATTTTTATATATTTACAAATTGTGAGCATGTAGAACACATTTTTAGATAAATTTAATACAGGGCTGGAAAATGGGCAACCTCGTATAGAATGAATTAAGAATAAAACAGCTCATACTATATTTAATTTGACCTTCTAGGGTTGGGAAATAGCATATTCTGAAAATTAATAAACACCTCATTTCTCTGATCATTTGCTGGAAACGACAAAAACTCAAGTCATTCAACTCCAGCAAACCTCCAGTGGATGGCAGACTCTGCCTTTTTTTCTACTGTTCAATTCACACAACTCAAAAAGAAGACCAGACTTTATACAAAGAGAAGGATTGTTTTATTTCAAATCTACAAGAGGGTTATTTGCAATATATTTAGAATTTTTATTAGCTAAAATACAAGTCCATTCTCAGCTACATACAGCTTATTAAAATACAAACGCATGCTAGTTACAGGTATTCTACAGTAATAGTAGTTATTTACATTGCGCTGAATTGTATGTCCTAGAATACAACTTCATGTGTTTCACATACAGATGAGCTACACAGAACATTGAATTTCATGAAAGATTCAAACATCAAATCCTTATTCACAAAAGACGCAGTGCATTTGAAAAGAAAATAGGAAAATGTCAGCATTTCAGATTCTTTTGTGCTTTAAATGGAACAAATACAAAAGCGTCAGTAGTTGTGTGTTCTAGATCTGTTTATAAAGGACGCTTTCAATTGGATTTCAAAAATAGTTTTAATGTATGCGTGTAGTTCAACACCAATGATTTAGGTATTGTGTTCACTTGAAACACTTCACAGCATAGCAGAGACAATATTACTCTGTTGTTAACAGCACATACTGTTTTACTGGCCCAAATTCATAACGTATCCTTTTCATAAAAATATGCAACTATTTTCTTTACTTATTCAAATGTTTGCTGCTCATTTTGTTCGCATAAACATCAGACAAAAAAGCCAAAAGCCACCTGCTGCATCCAGTGTGAAAAAAAAGCCATCCAATGCGAATGTGATTTCAGTCTAGCACTGTAAAAGTGCTCTCATAAATATACAATTTCAATGAAATATCCACACAACTTTAATACAAAAATAACTAGACCGGCATTTCGGCAATGATCAAAAATAGCTTTGATTTAAACAAACAATACAAAAGTATGGCTTATCGGGTCACTGGTTTTTAAAAAAGAGCTTTTTGTAGGAATGCAGCAAGCATCTTTTGAGACAGTTCTTGTGTACACAGATACTGAATCTGAATTATAATACATAAAACTCAAAAGACATCTCATTTACTGCTTTCTCATTTACTTTCATTCATAAGACTTTGCTATATATCATGTAGGCTACAATAAGCACATAAAAGATGTTGCCCGTCGGTCTCATGAACTAGGCCTATGGAGCAGAATTAGACGCTTTACACAAAATTCAGCAAAGGAAGCTTATTATTAATAATGCAAACCTTACAACTGATCCAGTTTTCATCAACACATAATGCATGGTCTGATTTCATTCAGTTTAAGCAGAAATGTTAAGCTTGGTAAAAGGAATAATGGAACATGTGACTGGCCGAGGTACTTTACATGCTCCGATCGATCGCAGATTACGACATAAAAATATTTTTTGAAATAGTGTACTGATGAAACCTCAGGCTGAACAGAAAGCACGCATCACTTCCATACTTGCATTCATCCAGCACAGAGTTTCTCTATTGCACCTATTCAGAACCTGAAATACAGTTCCAGTTCTTTTCATACAGAACTCAATTTGTAGACCTAAAACAGATTTAAAGGAATAGTTCAGCCAAAAATGGAAAATTGCTGAAAATTAACTCACACTCAGGTCATCCAAGATGTATATGTGTTTGCTTCTTTCTTCATTGGAACAGATTTGGAGAAATTTTGCATCACATGACTTGTTCACCAGTGGATCCTCTGCACTGAATGGGTGCCGTCAGAATGAGAGTTCAAACAGCTGATAAAAACATCATAATTCACACGATATTGTGAAGCAAAACGTTGATTGTTTGTAAGAAACAAATCCTTTATTAAGGCATTTTAACTTTAAACCATTGCAATGACTCTCATTCTGACGGCACCCATTCACTACAGAGGATTCATTGGTGAGCGAGTGATGTAATGCTAAATTTCTCCAAATCTGTTCTGATGAAAAAACAAATTCATCTACATCTTGGACGGCTAGAGGGTGAGTTCGTTTTCAACAAATTTTCATTTTTGGCTGAACTATTCCCTTATCAGTAATTGTAATTATATTACGACCACACAAATCAATAAGGACTCATATGCAATCAAAAGCATTGGGACACATTAAAAGATATTGATATTGAATTTTGACTCCATCTACTTTCATTTGTTTAATTACAAATGAAGTCACAGAAAGCAGCTTCATTAACCATGATTGTCAATTTGGAACTTAAAGTAATATGATTTGAGATGAGCTGGCATTTATAAGAACTGTTTGAAAAAAAAACCATTTGAATTAAATGCTTAAACTCGTGAGCTGGCCTGCATATATCCTTTGAATATTTCCAGGTAATAGAATTTATTCCCAAAGTATACAGTATTATTTTAGAATATGCATTTCTGGGAAACTTAGAAAATATGTTCTTCGTGAAATAAAGACTTTTTTCAATTAAAAGGTTTACTGTTATGTTTTGTTTTTCAGCTATGTTGTTAATGGTCCATAATTAACACTGATGAATGAATAGAACTTGTTAATAATCAATGGCTGGTAAATTTAAGTAACATGATTCTTGTTTGAGTTTAATTGTAATGATAACAGTCCGTCACATTCTGATGTGATGGGAGTGGCTCAAGTCAAAAATATATATACAACAACTGTTTGAAAGTTTGGGGTCAGTAAGATTTTTATTTTTTTTTAATAATACTTTTATTCAGCAAGGATGCATTAAATGTAGCAGAAAATGAAAGATTTCAATTGTAAACAATTACTGTTCTTTTGAACCTTCTATTCATTGATGGTTTCCACAACTGAGCAGCACGACAGTTTTCAACATTGATAATTATAAGAAATGTTTCTTGAACATCAAATCTGCATATTAGAATGATTTCTGTAGGATCATGTGACACTGAAGACTGGAGTAATAGCTGCTGAAAATCACAGGAATATATTACATTTTAAAACAGAACAGCTATTTTAAATTGTAATAATATTTCACTATATTACTGTATTATTACAATATTACGTTCACTGTATGTAGAAACAAATAAATGCAGCCTTGCTGATCATAAGAGACTTCTTTCAAAAACATAAAACAATCTTACAACCCAAAATTTTGAACGGTAGTGTAAAAGGTAAAAAAAAAAATCTTTGAATAATATGGAGTGGTCTTATGCCAAAATCAAAAAGCTTTTAGGAGTGGAAAGGATCTATCCTGTAGGAGTATCTCCATGGAGTATTTATCTGCGTAAGAGCTGTGTGCTTTCATTCCTTATCTGGAACGAGAAATTAATCCATTAAGCTGCCTTGTATGAATACTTGGATGGTGCGCACATAAATAGAGCTATGATTTAGCTTGTGCTAATTGTGAGTCTATTATGTATTTAACTACCACCTGGCTTCATAAGTAATAGGTTTGAAATGTCTCAACTGAATGCCATGGGCTGAAAGGAGCTGGCAGTAGAAGCAAAGTTCTTTGTGTGGTTTCCCGAAGTTGCCCAGTTCTGAGACTGTCTGTTCCTCCTGTCATATTCACAGATTTGTTTGTTTGTTCGAGGCCCTGCTGGTCATTGACATGGAAGCTACAAAGGGCCTTTGAACTGGTTCCCAGAGAGATGTTGGCGGATGGAGGGTTTGGATCCTGCTGCATCACCGAGCTTACGCCACACCACCTGAACACACAAAAGCAAACACACAGTTTGGTGAATCTTTTGACTATATGAAGTAAAATGAAAAATGTCTTCAAACTATTTCTTCAGTGCTATCATGCAGCATGTTCTGGAATGAAGATGTGGTCATATAATGTGTGTGATGGTATGGATTTTTGATATTGTGTGTGATGATAATGATGATTTGAATGTTTGAGTTCTGGAGACAAGCTTCCTAACAGAACATGTCAGCTATAATGTCATAATATAAATAATGTTTGTATGTTTCTTTGTTATGTTTTTCTCATTCTACATATTTTTTTAATTGTAAAAGTTTAGTAATAACATATAATAAACCAGCTAAAATCTTTATGAAAAAAATAGAAAAAAATAAATGTTTAAATTAAACACTTTTTATGTATTTACTATTTTTATGTATTATTATTATACTACTCACATTACACATTTCTCTGACAATGGCTTTCTCTTTCTCACTGAGATCCTCCTCGTAGTCCTCCGGGATCTTCCTGTCTAGGTTTTCATGGACTTCTAATACCTACAAAGCAAATGAACAGAGGTGCTCGATAAATCAAGCAGAACTATTACTATGGCTCAAACTTAACTGACTTGAACAAACCACCAGTCCTAATTATTTACACTTAAGTGTAACTCTTAAGGCACTGTTTGTGCAACAAAATGAATAATATCTCAAATCAAAAGGGACTTTGGCTTTACTCGGCAGCGCTAAAACCAACAGCGCATATGCTTACTTCCTCGAAAGCCACCAAAATAAAAGCTTGGTAATTTAAGGTTTGAAATGTAGAAAATGTATATAAAAAATGCTAAAAAAAAAAAAAAACATTAAAATGTAAATTATTTTAATTTAATAAAATGTAATGTAAATTTAAAATATAATAGTAGTATAACACTTTATTTAGTTATTTAATAATTTCTTATTAGTTATATTTAATTTATATTAATAGTAAAACAAAATATATAAATGAAATAAAATTATAAATTTAATAAAAGTTATATTTATAATTTATATTTACAGTCATATATATATATATATATATTGACATTTGATTCCAGCTGTGTCTATTTTGTCCCTCGTTATCCTGTGTTTATAAGCCCCAGTCTGTTCAGTTTAGTTTGTCGGATCTACTTGTTGTGAACGACATCTTTGTGCTCTGTGTCTCTTATTTGAATCATTAGAGAAATCTCTACGTCTCCTCATTTCCTCGTGCCCATGCATCCATTGTGACAGAAGATCCGACCAAAACCGTAACCTCCGTGTCTACCCTCCGTTTTTGTTTTTCGCTTTTCTTCATCCCGAATACCTCCTCTTCCTGCTGGAGCAGGGGGACAAAGCTCTCGAGGACCATACTAGACTGTTCCAGCTGCTAGCAAGCACCATCAGCTACCCAGACGACACGCTCTGTGCGTTCTACGACGCCAGTCTAAATATCGAGTGCAGAGCGCCGTCGTCCGAAGATGGTCCTCGAGAGGATTTCGCCGTGTTTGTGGAGTGGATTCTGGCGAGAAACAGATCACCTCTCACCGTCACTCCCAAGGATGATCTCGCCAGATCCACTCTGGACCCAGTGTCACGGTTCGCAAGGGGCGAAGACTCAAGTGCAGGCAGATGGGGTCTTTATTTATAATTCACAAAAATAAACAATAAACACAACTGAAACCACCTCGAGGGAGGGAAAAAAACAGAGTAACATGAAAGCACACCACGAGACAAAAACTGAGCAACCCCGACTCCTATGTGAAGCAAACGAGCCCAGAACAGAAAACACAGGGAGCTTATAAGGGAGAGGCAATCAGGTAAAACAGCTGGGACAAATTAATCAATAATAAGGTAATGAGAGAACAGGTGAGTGGAGTGAAGGTAACGGAGTCCGGGAGGATGTGAAATGGCGACCTCTGGTGGTGAGAGGGAGAAACACCAGACACCAGACCCTGACACCCAGAGCCCAGCCCCCCAGCTCGTTGGCTCTCCGTCTCCACCTCGGGCTCTTCCACCACCTGCTCCGCCGCCGTTGGTCGGCCCCCTGGAGTTGGCGGCCGCTCCTCCCTCCGTCGGCTCCACCATGGGTCGCCATTATGGCTGTGGCCTGGGTGCCTTGTGCCTGTGCCTTGGCTCCTCCTGCTCCGGGCCCCTCCTGTCTCCTCCCTGGCTTCTCCATCCTCCGTCGCCTCCTTGGTCTCTGTCTGTCGGCCCCCTCCCAGGTGTCCGTCCTCCTCCTGAGCCTCCTCCTTAGTTCCCACCCACCCCCCCTCTGTTGTTCTATGGTGCGAGGACGCACCTTCCGGGAGGGGGGCAACATGTCAGGGTTCTGGACTGTCTGTGTGCATTTTGCTCCCCATGACCCAGTTTCTCCTTGTGTTAATTGTGTTAATTTGATTCCAGCTGTGTCTATTTTTTCCCTCGTTATCCTGTGTTTATAAGCCCCAATCCCTTCAGTTTAGTGTGTCTCCTGTTTGAATCATTAAAAACTCTCGTTCTGAGAAATCTCTACATCTCCTCGTGCCCGTGCATCCAGCGGATTGTGACATACATTTGATAAAATGTACCGAATTTGATATTACTGTTTTAATAAATAAATTCAGAAATCATTAGATTATTCACATTAATTTAATATTTAATTTATATTTATTGACAGCCCTAGTTTCTCTTCAGGTTTGCGTAATGTTTTCAGGATAATATTTTACATGTAATATTTTTTATTCTTCACAGTATAGATCCTAATAATGTCTTTTTATACATGGTAATATACTGTATATCTAAAAAGAACTCAACTCGACAGAAAAGCATAGCATGTCAATTTATAATTGTCCTCTATGCGATCTCGCCAAACAACAGAGTACTATGTAGTCATCTGCCTTGTTTTTTCCATTTGCAAATTCCACCCTCAGAAAGAGCAGGATAGATGCTGACAGACAAGAGAGTGAGAGTGACAGAAATGGAGCCGAGAAAGCGCTCAACAGATGAAGTGAGAAAGAAACAGCAGAGGGAGGTGGCTTGTTTATTTCTGCTTTCTTGTGTCAGATTTGCTACTAGATTTTCCCCAGAGACATAATTAAATCCCACCCT